TATGGTGCCTTTGTAGCCCTCGCTAAAGCCACAACTATCTTCGTACGCGGCAGGACTCTTAAAATTCGTCGTCCAGGGTGTGCGGAATGCGCCCGGCTGCACGATCAAGACTTTGATGCCAAACTCCTCGACTTCCTTCTTAAGGGACTCGTGGAGGGCTTCAATTGCGGCCTTGCTAGCGGCATAGGCTCCTCGCCCGGGGAGAGACATGTACCTGTCCCCGCAACACGCGTTCCGTTAGTTAGTAAGACTACGCGATGATTCTAATAGGTGACTAGCGTACACAATGCTACTGGCAATTAATACGATGTGCCCTCGACGCTTCGCGCGCATGTGTGGCAAGACAGCCCGAACGGCGCGGAGAGGCCCCCAGAAATTTACGTTCAACTGGTCCTGGACCTCCTCCTCGCTATTGCCGATGTTATTCGCGGGTGAAGACGTCCAGAGCAAGTGCGCACCTACCGCGTGTCTTCGACGCCGCCGATGAATGCATAACCTGCATTATTCACGAGCACATCGATGTCGTATTTTTCTTGGACTTTGGCGAAATGACTGGAAGAATCCGGATGTGCTGGATCTAGTTGTATCCAGATGCCGCCTTTCGCGGCAAAGTCGGGGCTGGTCGCTTCAGCTCTGGTAACGTCGCGAGTGGCTCCGATGACCCTGCAGCCGGCGTCGAGAGCTGCGATGCCAATAGACTGGCCGATTCCAGAGGAGGCGCCCGTGACTAGCCAGGTAGTCGTTTCTGCCATTTTGATCGTTGGCGAGCTGTGATTAGTCGATTAAATGAAATCAGACTACAGAAGTGTAGTAAATGAGACCAGCAGATGGGGAGTGCTATAAAACGCGGCCAGCATCGAGTGAAAGCCGTGGCATATGGCGTTTGGTGCCTTTAGGCTGTTGGTGCGACCATCCACCCCGCGCGGTTTATCTGACTGCTCCAACCTCAATCCATCGCTCCGACCCGAACTTTCGGTCCTCGGTCTCTAGGTTTCGGGTTGATGAGGCGGCTGTAGAACATAATTTTGGCGGAAACAGGTGAGATGGCTTGAACAACTGGAGGCTGATCAGCTACACCGGCTAGTGATACCGAAGCAGCGGCGGATATCCGCTATCGCTAAGCTTAACTTGATGGTGTACTCCGTATAGAATATCTAAGACTCTCAAATTTAGGGCGTACCGAGTATACATCGCCATGACGTGCCTGCTGGGCATGGGCACTATAGTTTTGATCGGTCTTTGGACACTACCCTCATCTCCTCCCTCTAAGGGGATGCGACCAGAGGACAAAAATGCCAAGCATCTAGCGAATGGTCACTTCCAACTTCTTGCCTACCAGGTTGGTGTTAATTGCTCTGGTTTGCCACCTCGCCGCATCTATTCATGGGCCTCGAACCATGTTCACCCTTTTGGTTTTAGGTAGGAATGATTCCGTATGAGGTGAGAAGACTTGACAGCAGCACTGCAGCTGAGAATGATTGGGGCACATGATATAGTTGAGATTTGGGCAATGCTCTAATACATACGACCATAGGATCTGGAAAACGCGGGGTCCCGTCCGCTCCCCCATAGCTAAGCCAGATACCGCCAGATTAGTAGTTGGGTCGGTGACGACCAGCGAATCCCTGGTGTTGTATGTTCTTTTTTTTCCTTCTTCTTTTCCTTCTTCCTTCACCAATCCTTTTAACGCTGTGATTGTATAGACGTACGCGTTTTATCCATCATAGTCACGTCATAGTTTTATTCAGAATGGATCTTTATTTTATCATTGGTGTAAGGCACACCGGTAGCTAGCATTTCGGTACTGCCAAGGCGGGCTGCCAAGTATCCTATATCTGCATCCCTCACATAGGTGCCAACCTCATCTAGTTATAGCTAGCACACCACAATGTGCACTCGCGAATTGATTTCTTTACACTAGCTATCATCGATGCTCTTCCTTCGTTTTCGCTATGCGAACTACTTACGAATCATCCGGCTCGGTTAGTCGTGCGAAATAGCTAGGCTAGGTGTCAGCTAGCAGGCCCTTGCGATGTGGTTGACCTAAGAGGCTGCCAATAACCCGCTGCATAACTTTGGGGACATGCATCTCACCACATGCTGTAATGGTAGGTAGGTACATTCGATCTAGATGCAAGCTGCGCCCCGAGTGGAGTTGTGGGTAGTTATTGAAATGGCTTCCCTATCTAGATTAGTGCTGCTATCTTCAGCTTCACAGAGTTGAAGAGGGTTCACTTATTAGAGGAGATCTGCGCTGGTGATGTGCGAGGACCATCGAGACGCTCCTCCTAGAGTGGGTTATTTACGAATCTCCGTGAGACACTGCTAAAAGGCTCCTCACCGCTGTTCGGACACTTAGCCAAGACGAAAGCCACATGAAATGCCGGTAGCCACATCCCAACTACCTAGATCATCCATCCATCGACCTAGCCACGGACGAAATGAAACGCCGATGGCTGGGACGGAATCAAACCCTGCAACGCTCAGGCTCGTCGGGTTTATCTCCATCACACACATCTGCAAAACCCCCCAAACATTGTGAATTGTGAGGAGTCGACTGGAGGAGACTGAACTACCTAATCAATCATTAAGCAAAACTATGGCTGGCCAAGTTAAAACGACGCGCAATGGCCTGCTGCAAAGCCCGACTCAGTGGCTGTTCGAGCACCAGATCGGTACGTATACTAGACCCTCCGTGCCCGCTGTACCGCCGCTAAGAACTCTTAAAGGGGCTTCGTTCAGTCTCATCTTCACGCTTTTCCAGTTGCACGTATTTCTACCTCAATGGCGACCGTTAACATCTAAATTCTTCACTTTATCGGGCTATAACCATGGCACAGGCAAGTATGCTATCGGGCATGATGACCTGTATTTCGTCGGGTTTTGCGTGATACTGTTTATCGGTATCCGCGCCGGCTCTATGAAATATGTGCTCGCTCCGTTGGCTAGATCCTGCGGATTGACCAACAAGAAGCGCATTACGAGATTTTCAGAACAGGGTTGGATGTTCATGTATAATGCGATTTTCTGGAGCCTGGGAATGGTAGCTATCTCATTAGACCCCAATTCAACATTGAAGACTTTGCTAACTGATCGCAAGCGCATCTACGTTATGTCGCCGTACTTCCTGAAGTTGGGCGAGCTATGGACAGATTGGCCCCAGAGAGAGCTCGAGGGGCTTACGAAGGGGTATGTGCTGGCACAACTCGCATACTGGATACAGCAGCTGCTCGTCGTCCACCTTGAGGCTCGGCGACATGACTACAACCAAATGATAGCGCATCATTTGGCTACCATCGCCTTGATCTCTTCGGCATACGCGTATCACCAAATACGGGTCACTAATCTGATTTTCGTCCTGATGGATATCATCGAATTGATTTTCCCTGTAAGATGTCCTGCCTGTCCCTGACGACGAATGTTCCTAACGAAAGAGAAGCTTGCGAAATGCCTTAAATATCTGGGCTTCACTACAATCTGCGACGTTATCTTCGGCATATTCATGGTTACGTGGCTCGTGACCCGCCATGTATTCTACCTCATGGTATGCTGGAGCGTTTATGCTGATTTGCCCCGGTTCACGCCAGCGGCGTGCTACAAGGGCCCCGCGGACAACCTGGAGGGCCCGTTGCCCATTCTAGAGGGCCAATCCTACCTTCTACAGCCTTTTCGCAATTCTGAGGGTATCGTCTGCTGGACTGAGGGGATCCGTATTGGTTTCTTGTCGTACCTACTCATTCTACAAGCCATTATGATTCCCTGGTCTACCGCTATCGTGCAAGTAGCCATCCGGGTAGTGCGGGGCGATGGCGCCGAGGACGTCCGGAGCGACGATGAAGAGGAGGACGACGAGGTCGAGGAAGACGAGAAGGTTGGGTTCGAAAACATAGAGGTGGTCGAGGAGGAGGTCACGGCCGAGATGGTGGATTTCGATGCGTGGAAGCGCCGCAACGGCGTAAAACAGACCGCCAGATCAAGCAGTGCAAGCCTATCGAGGCACAGCGACCGGAAAGAGCTGCTGAATCGGATTGGATGCGAGAGACAAATCGAGTGAGCAGGGGTATCACATCATGTACAGCTCTAGCCGAGAGATCCCGTATCACTGTCTCCTTATTGGATAACCCTCTTTGAGAGATTGTTGACCGATAGTTGTGCATGTCGACTGGAACGATTCACTTCCGCCCAACCACCTACCTACATGCCCGCACGGTGGGCAGTGACACTGGGCATTGGCCTGACTGAGTAACAATCAAGCGACGACTGGCTGGGAGAAGTGCATTAGCAAACATCGGGCGACTGAACGGGACCGGGTCGGGATCCGCGGGTCGCCTCTTTATATATACCTAGGTAGTGGCATTCACTATAGTTTAGCCCCCCGAAGCATCCCTGATCCCGGTTTTACGGTATCTTTGTACGTAAGTAGTTCCCAATTCATGGCGTGGGAATGGCTTGTAATACGGCATGATTAATTCAAGAGTAAACGGGTTTTGGATATAGAAAAATCTATGCGCCGTAATTTTATATCCTGTCGGTCAATTGGCTCACGGTATCAGGGTAGCGCGGGTAGATCAGCCAGCCACCGGAGACTAAAGTTATAGGCCGATTATCTTATTGCTCGAACGCCTTGGACCAATTGAGTTGCAGGAGCCCTGCCCTGGAGGCTTTGCCATCAAGACTACGGTTGCTACAAAGCATGCTATTAGAAATAGGGACCAGCTAATTGTCATAATCCAACTCAAAGAGGCAAAAGTTTTGCCGCATAAATTATGGGAAAGGTTCCCTCTGGAGAGGAGAGGTATACAAAAAAGAAGTTCAAAACGACAACGACAGGACTCGAACCTGTGACCCCGAAGGGATGTGATTTCTCGTGTAATTTCTCCATCTAGGTACACTGTCCTTCGCCATGGACCAAACACCAAAAATTTAGACGGTATTACCTAATCTCCACTTAGAATGAGTGCAAAAACTTAGACAAACGCATCGGCTTGTCCTAACTATCACGACAACGGCAGGATTCGAACCTACGCCCCCGAAAGGATATGATTTCTATGATGCTCTTCTAGTCATACGCTATAACCACTCAGCCACGTTGCCTGCAGTTCACACTGTGTGCTTGTTGTGAGAGTGTGAGCGCCAATTGGATATGAGATCCAAAGCGAAGCCCTTTGCGAACGGACTCTTCTTAGTCAGCACCGAACGCCCGCGAAAGCCACTAGACGCATGGCACACTGCCATAACCACAGGATGCAAGACATTGGTCACAGTTAGGGAATCGCTTTATGTGTGTTAATCATCCTAGTGCTCTTCTTGTCGTTCTCACTTCCTTTAGTCAAGTTTAGATCAAGAGTTACGAGTTTCAAGTATCACCGGCCGCAATGGAAAAAGGGTGCATCCGGCACGCCGGACGCAGGATTGCTGCTACGCCCTGCGAACAATACTAAAGGCAGCATTATGAGGCGTCACCTGCGGGACGCCGGTTTAGACAGAAATCCAGAGCTACATTATGAGGGGGTGGTCATTGTCGACAATCATTATGCTCTCAGGGGCCTGAGTTGTTTCTGGATGAAATCTACTAATGCGAAACATAGTAGTCTATCATAGGCATAACACCATCCTCCCTTATAACAGGATTACAATGACCCGATCGCAATCTGATTGAATCTGTCAGAAGCCCTATGCTCGTAGCAGGTGATGACTTGTTGCGCGAAAGGTCTCCAAAACACCTTCCTACGTAATACTTACTATATACAAGAATAGTCTTTTTGTTCTGAGGCCGTATGGCAAGAGGCTTTGAGAAATAACGCCCCGTCTGATTCGCCTTGTCATCGAAAGCAGAGCAGTGCTATTAAATCTAGATTACTGCTAGCTTATTTTGAGGGTTCAATAGCTTGTGCTCGCCGAAGATTGGTGTTCTCCCTTAAATCTATTAAGCATGCTCTAGATATCTTGCTAAGAGAAATCCACGTCATTATCACATATATAGACTCTTTAAATACTTAAACGCATCGATTCATCTAATGTCATAGATACGCTATCTGGCCTTACCACGAGAGGCCGAAACTAGGTGGTGTCAGAAAGTTCGGTATCTAAAAGGCAAAGATGTATAAATCTCGGGGCAATGACCCAAAGATGAGGCGGCGCTGCACTAAAGTTTCGATAAGGAAGAATAGCTGCTAACCTGCCAAATTTCTGCTGGGGCTACAGTTACCACCGGCTCCGGATACGAATAGCAATGTACAGGTTTCCGATTACTTGTTGACGCACGAGGAGCCCTAACTGCTACTTCCAGTGGCTGGATATCTATATACAAATAGCTCCCTTAATACTGTACCTCAAGGGAAGAGTAGCACGCTATACACCACAATATAGGTCCCCAACTTCGGAGACTGCGAAGCCATACAAAGCCACTAGAAGCTTCGTCCCTAGCCTCCTAGCTGAGACATATTGAGTTGTACGAAGCCTATTGGAGGAAGAATGTCGCGATGGTCAAGTGAGCGTTTCAGCAAGGCAATAGAAGGTTATCCCTTGGAATGGAAGGACTAGAATAGAGGTCTACAAATGGGGCAGGAACTCCTGGCCGAAGGAAAGAAGGAAAGCATGGACCCGTGAGACCCCTAATATATCATTAGCTGAATTTAACCACTGTTCCGAGCCCTCTGTTAGTAAGCCCTTGTCACACAGAGATATGTAGTCGTGGGTGGTCAGGATCGTGACAGCAATAGATTTAGCTGAGAATTACTGATAGCCTACGCTCAAACAACCCCCAAATAACCCCTAGCGCCCTTGCATTGAAGGTAGCGTAGTCTAGTATGCCATTGTTGGTAATGGAATAGCGTATCTTCTTGAAGCAGGCCGTTTCGGTACCACAGAGGGAATCATTTCTATACCGCCACTTCATTAGGGGGCTGCCTTTTGGCACATGAGGGTGCCGTTTATAATACAGGGTGCTGCGATGCTTGACTTTCTATGTTGCGTCTATTTGTCACGGAACTAAACCTAAGAGAGGGTTGGGAGTCAATCTGCTACATCGAGGAATGAGTACTGAAAGGTTGGTGTTCAAGGGGGTTGGGTTATAGGATGACGTAGGTGATGCTATGGCGTGCCTGTGGCGAGATGCAGGGTACGAGGTGTCGTTTTCGCTGTGGTATTTTGGGGAGGTATTTTGTGGGTGCAATAAAATGTCACAGTTTCTACTGTTGGCGATGCCAGAGTTGCCTTATTGTTATTGCACAAAGAGAGAAGTTCTATCTAAGTAGGCCAGTCTTTTAGGTTGGTTTATATAGATTTTCCAGGCCCGTGCAGCCCTCTCTTGGGCCCGGTTCCGTGACACTATTAAGGGAATCATGCGGTCGAGAGAAATAAATCACGGCAAGTGGCATATGACGCAGACGAAATATGCATGGGCCACAGATCAGACATAGCTAAGCGGCCCGGTTGTTATCCCGCCGGCTGTTAGCCCGCTAAGCTTGGATGTCTTGGGTCCAAAAAAATCTAGGCAAAGAAAAAGGAATCCTCTTTCCTCGGTTCTGCGAAGGTTTCTCAGATGGCCCGGGTTTTTGACCCAGGATCTGTGGTTTGAGCCCCTGAGAGACGGGCTCCAAGAAATCTTTTTCTGCTCCATAACCCACGGCGCGAGGCTGTTGCTATGCATGGCATTGGTGGCTTAAATTAAACCTGCCTCGAGCTTTCTGGAAATATGGTCGAGTTCTTCAAGGGGGCGCAACTTGTTCTGAGAGCCTTTGGCTAGGAGACAAGCGGCGTGGCGCCTGTAATCATTCTGGGGAGACGAGCGAGAGAAGTTGATGTGATAAGTGATATTGAAGGTCGACGGGATGGTAGGCGTGCATACCTAACTAAATGTTACTGCAGAAATAGGAGGGACAATAGGATCGCTGTGCCCCGTGGGATTTAAACGAGATTTTCCAAGATCAGCGTGTCTTCAGGTTTTGGAATCGATTCCGACCTTTCCCCCCTTCATAGCGGAGTGATAGGTTGTTGCCCACAATGCCTAACGTTATCTTGTCTATATTATGATAGTGCGGGCATCTATACACCTAGTTTCTTAGGGGGGGTTGGGTTGACCCAAGGGGCTAGCCAGCCAAAGTTTCGTTGTTTCCCTATTCATTTAGATGCAGCCCAGCGGTAATTTTCCTTCCTTCTTCAGGAGATAGGCTAGCCCTTTGGGCCTCCTCCCCTCAATCTACGTTGACTTCTCCGCCGAGTCAAATCTTTAAAAGCGATTAGATGTTAGTTGCAAGTCCTCCAGAGAGCGGTTTAGGACGAATAGCACGATCCTTTGCAATAGAAGCCCGAGGTGAAATTGCTTTCTAGGCAACAGAAATGTTTGTAACAATCGGAGTACAGTGATAATATATTAGGCGCTAGGCTAAGTAATTTGAGACGAACGGCCGTATCATGGCCAGTCACTTTTCAGTTTACTCCTAACATCTACCTAGTACATAGGCCTAAGTCGAAGCTACCGTCGAGTGACTATATGGCCAACCCGCAGGGTGGTTGTGATCCTCGGATCCGGCTATATATACGTATACATATAGGGTTACTAGGTCCCCTTAGGGACCTAGGAGGTTTAGGAATCAATTGACTGACTCTATAGAGCCCTATACTACACATTTCTTCCTAACCGTAGCCTAGCCATCTATTTACTCTGTGACAGATCTCACCGATAGCCACACAAGATCTTCAGATCGGACGCAGACCTATAAAGTCACATTTTGAATCGTCGAGCACCGATACGAGATTTCGGGGGGCCCCAGGTATAAAGGCAATCAAATGCGAGAAAGCAAGGAGAAACTAGGGAGCGATGGGAAGCGAGAAGCTAGATTGTAGGAAGGGTTAGGTCAAAAATAAGTTGTGGGATCCTACCTCGGCTAGAGGGGAATGCCACGATCTTGACTGCCCACGACCACATACCTCCACCCCTGAGGTACAGAACAAGGGGGCTATTTGTGTATATATATCCAGCTGTTAGAAGTAGTAGTTAGGGCCCCCCGTGCGTCAATAAGTATTCAGGACCTACCTATACGTTGCCATTGGTACCTAGAGGACCGTAACAGGCATGAAATAATTAGGACCGTTAAACCCATAGAAGAGTATTAGTGAATTGGAAGACCTTCTAAATCGTTGAATGTTGAAAGCCCTGGTCACATTCCCTGCTGCCTAGGACACCCTGAAGATGTCTAAAGAATACGATTGCTTGAAAGCTATTTCGACAAGACAAATAACCCCGGTGCGGTGATGATAATACTACAATGATTCGCAATGGAGAGGTAGAACTAGAGGCTATCTGCGGTGTCCAAGGTAATATTAAGCCAGAAACTAGCAATACCTATAGGATCCCTTTCGAGGTTGTATTCGATTCTAACTAATACTATCTAGGGAAGGGCTATGGCTATGGCTACGGATACAGGAGGGGGGTTCGGATCGGAAAAAGGCTACGGATATAGGGGAGGGAAGGAAACGGCGCAACTACATTTTTTACTAACACGTTTATTAATCTCTTTTGTTTACTATTACCTGATTTGGTGTTACGTGCTGTGACATCTGACGGCTGGCCCTGCGGAGAACCAATAGGCCATGAGGCCAGGATAACTCTTGCGATCCCTGCGATAAAGCGAATGGCCGAAGAAGCCCAGGCACGAGTACTCTTTTACCCGGAGGAGGAAGGAGGCGGTAGGAGGCCCTTAAGGGGGCATATCGACAGTGGTCAAGAGTTGCTAGATGGGTTGTTTTCTGTATGAATAGAATAGCGTAATAGTTTCCTAAGCTGTAGTACGCCCCTAATACCCCTCGGGAGGTTTGGAGTCTTTTACAACGTAAGGGCTCCTTGGCGTTAAATATAACTACTACTACTAATACTACTACTACTACTATCGAAGGAAGAAGTCTAATTAGCGCCTTAGCTGATGATAATACATCGGAATTTACATGGCTATAACGAGCTCTATTTATTAAGATAAGCACATTTGATTATCGCTCGCCATGATTGCCCATGTGACTGGATTCAGGGGTTATCACCCGTAGTATATTTTCGTTTTAGACATTGGTTAAACTAGTAAGGCACGTTGATCATTGTT